ATGGCGAAGATTGCCTGGTTTTTAACTGTTATGCTTTATGTTATGTAAACAAATTTTGATATTCCTACCTATAAAATTGTCATAATGTGAACAAACACATAGGCCCCAAATTTGGAGCAGTAATCATGGGATCACTTCATTCATTTGTCAAAATAGAGTATTCGGAATGGGATTGCTGCTAACAATGTAACACAGTTCGTAACTTAAAACAACTATTAACTATGCTAACCCTAAGCAATTTATCCCTTTCTTGATATGGTAAACTTCAAGACATTCCTTAGCCTGTATCTTTAAGCGACGACAAATTACACGTTATTAAACAATGCTACTGAGCGAGAGAATGCTCTGTAATGCTTTGTTCCAGCACTTGAACCAATGCAGTCCACTAAAAGAATGTCCATGTTAAAGAACACATTTAGTGATCACCGAAGAATATTTTCATTGTTGTCATGTCACCATTGGAAGACTCAATACCCGTTTGCAAAAAACAAAACTGATTACATCTGATAGCAATAGAATCAGACGGGTGATCGCACAGTTCGAAAAGTCGATCATTTTAAATGAATTTCATTCACTTGTTTACAAGGTAAATTGTATCAGCGTTAAGACAATCTGTCGCACACTGCTCCTTACGTGACAAAAAAGCGTTATACATTGGATGCGAAATTTCTACGGCTTTCATGACCACATTTAGGACAAAATAACTCCTGTTATTTACATATGATAGTATGCACAGTAAAGGTTAGGGTTAAACGGACATGTTGCCTTTGTTAAATCAATAATCAGAGCTAGACATATTTGCTTACCTCGATAGTCGCAGATTGCCTGGACATTTTGATGGAGTAAAATCCTTTCCGGTTCATGAAGTCAGGCTCATTTTCGTGAGGGGCAGCTATTCTAACGTGAGTACCGTCGATAAACCCAATGGCACAAGGAAAACCACCAACTCGAAACATACTTTCCTTAATATCGTCTCGTTCCGCACGAATGGACGGAAATCTTACGAAGTCATCGCTTGTGTCACACGACAAACTACTCGGCTAGCAGTCGACACATCAAATCCTAGAAAAGTATCTCCGATCACATGCAGAAACGAACCCGAGGCCAGGACAAGGACTTGCATTATGGCTGAGAAGGCATGGTTCATATTTTTTTGTGGTGTTATTTCGAAGTTGATTGTCGGGCAACGATCTGACTTGGAACGATCTGACCATGGAACGAACCTCGAGCAGCGGCCATTTAATTTTTTTACTATCCGATGGATACAAATTTATACTACCTACCTAACCATGGATAATTTTATCTGCTGGATAGCCAGTGGATAGCGCTATCCATACATTGAACAACCGATATGACGCCGGGGTTAAAATTTATCCACTGGATAGCGATTTATCTAGCGGATAGCAGTTATCAGTTCTTTGAACAACCGGGGCCAGATTCTAAGAGTGCGACTTAAGCTGACACGGTCCTCAAAAAACGATTTCAACAGCTTCTAAGTTTTTGAACATCGAGTTAAGAGCTTCCTCAAACGAGCTAAATTTCATTTCAGTTTCCATACAGCTTTGTGTGAAACAGTTAAGGTTTGAGATAACGCTTACTAGTATAAACCACATTGTATCTACGACTGTAAGCCCCTTAACAAATAATGCAAGCGAGCATCAGATTTTAAGAATGCTTTTGCGATTGAAGCTTGCGCAGAACTCGAAAAAAATTATTTTAACAGCTTCTAAATTGTCAAACAATGATTGAGAAGCTTTCTTTGACCCAGCTCGATTCCTTCTCAGTCTTCCATACGGCTTTGTGAGAAACAGCTAAGGTATAAGGTGAGGTTTAAAACTATGAACCAGTCAAACTTACGCAAACATACTCACCCAACACAGCTCAGAGCGCTTGTGACGTTCTTTATACCTCCACTTAACGATAAAACCTTTCAACGATACAGCCTTATGGTACAACGTGGCACGAATACTAAACAGAAGTAAAACGATTATCAGATGAGTTTGAGCACAATTATGCATTATCAATGCCAAGGCCTCGCACGGGTTTTGTCTAGTGACTGTATGCTCTCGACCAATCAGAGTTTTTATAGGTATGCATCATAATTAAAGTTGGCCTTCAGTTGCATTTCGATTAAACGGAGGATTCGATTGAGGCCTTGAGTTTCTGCCTTTTTTCGTTCCAAGCTTTCGCCGATTTACGGCATCGTCAGGGTATGTTAAGAAAAAATTCCACTGTACGCAAAATAAAAGTCATGAAGGTTATACGAATAATTGGAATACATAATAGAGACAATGAGTTTTCAAACAAGGTGATTGTTTCGATATATGAATCTTGCATCACTTGGTAGCTGCTACTCACTAGGGTGTAAGGGTCACATGTATTAAAATAGCGTCAGGAGAAAAAGTATATCATTTAAAGATTCTGCAACCTCTTTCGAACACCAGACGCCTTCCTGATGCTATTACCTTCTATTCTTCGTCATTTCAGAATGAATCTTGTGCTCAAAGTGTAACAAAATGCCGGAAGACAATGACAACGTTGAGTCGGGTGCGCAAATCGCCACGCCATCATCGCCAGCACCTTGCTCAGGTCAACCTACTACTCTAATTAATCATCAAGTTATTACCATACAATTTTCCGCTACCAATTCTTATGAAGTGCCGTGGTGATGTTGCTGGCAACTGGGACTTTTCGAGCAGCAATGGAGCAATTATGAGATGGCAACAGGACTCAATAAGCGAGAAGAATCGGTTCCTTGAGCAACTTTGCCGCGTTCATCGATGGGCAGAGAAGCTTCCTAACAAGAAAATCGACAGCTGTTTAGAAGCCTTCAAAACTTCTTCGTAAGAAGGGAGATGGAGGAAAATTGTTGATTTCAGAGAAGATATCGGAAAAGAAGAAATCTGTAGGTCCTTTCGAACCAAAATGTCTAGGAAAAGTCTTTGCTTATAAAAGATTCAACCAATATCTAGTAAACTGACCAAAAGCATCTGGAATCGATATTTAAGAAGTCTCTACTATCAGCTCCTTGCCGTCTCCAAAGAATGCTTTTCAGGCTATAACGAATCTGTCAGTTAAGTACAAACCTGGTTCCCAAATACTCTTAGCTGACCATTTGTCTAGTGCCGCACAGGATGAAACCTCTGGCCAGAAGAATCATGTGAAGTATTTTCCCTGGAGCTGGAGAGCCAAGACCGTATGCAAGCCCTGAAGGTCACACCACACACCACAACGACTGGATCAACAAAGATCCAGTGCTGATCAAGATCCGGGAGTATTGTTCTTATCGTGACGTGCTGATAGTACATATTGGTGTTCTGTGCAAAGGTTGGAGAGTGGTCATCCCTTAGTTACTGAGACCTAAAGTAATATCCAGATCCCAATCCAGCCATTTAGGAGCAGAGGCTTGCCTGCGTAAAGCCAGAGACACTGTATTCTGGCCTGGCATGAATGCAGAAGTGCGTGACTAGATCAAGCAACCTTCAATTTGCATCAAACTTCAAGCTAAGAATCAGAAGCTTCCATTGCAGAGTCACGAATTTCCTGACCATCCGTAGAGTCGAGTAGCTTCTGACCAGTTCGACTTCATGCGTGTTGACTTCTACAAGGATTTCATAGAATTCAAGAAATTGGAAGAAAACACTTCCAGTTCCGTAATTGAAATATTCCAGGAACAATTCAGCAGAAATGGCGTACCAGAAAAACTAGAAACGGTCGACGCTCCTCAGTTTACAAGCTATGAATTTCATCACTTTCCGTTCGATTGGGAGTTCACTCACCTATCTTCCTTCCCGCATCACCAGATTCGACGGAAAGGGGAGTCTGCTGTGAAAAATTTGCAGTTTTTTTTTCAAAAAGGCTCTCAAAGAAAACAAAGACCCGTGATAAGCCTTGTTGGACTAACCAAACACACCAATAGACTCTCTGGAAAGTAACCCTGCATAGAGTTTGATGTCTAGACGCATCAGGATCGTACTTCCCCCAGCTTGTAACCTACAGTACCCCAAGATCCCAGAAAAGGAGTTAGGCAAGAGGTCAGAGTTGCACCCCTTCCGAGGAATCAAACTTAGTAGATGGGTGCCTGTATTGAGAGGCAATCAGTCATGTCTCATGGGGTAAAATCCAGTTCAGACATTAAAATGCTCCATAGAAATCGGGAATTTCTGAAGCAAGCTGAAAAACCGGCTGAACAACTCAAGCCAGTTGAAGACAGTGACAGCCAGTCTTTATAAAGAATGAAAGCCAGCCTTTAAATCATAATTTTAAGTTATCTAGTCCTGAACCGAAGCAAATATTGACACCAAAATCTGTTCCAGTTAAGAAAACTCGAACAAGAGTTGTAAAGCTTACTACGATGTTTTTACAATGGCGCCGTTCAAAGTCTAATTTCTGAAAAGTTTGTTCACCCTTTGGTATCTCAAAACGCGGTTGGTTACGATAATTTAATGCACAATTTTTATTGGTGAAGATAAAGACCTCTCACTGACCTCTATTTCTGTTCTTTAAGGAATGGGGTTTTTTCCTCTCGGATGGCCACAACGAGGTTCCCTAACTTATTAAAAATACGAATCGAGAAAACGAGGTTATGAAATCTCTGGGCTCAAACAGAGAGCGATGATTTCGGTTCGAAAAGCTGAAACTTTAATCTAGAGGTATGAACAGTTTAATAAGGCCCGTTAAACTCCCCAATCATAGTGCAAGTACTAACTCACAGATATAATGAATAAAAATATGGATCAGGAAATACTTCCTCAGTAAATAAACTGAGTGCGACCAACAAGTGAAAAACGGTTTGATTCTCAATGTGATAGCAGTTCAGTCGAACTTCTCCTCACGGACATCTCTTTGTTCAGACATTTTTACTGTTCAACAAGTTTATAAACTAACAAAGGGGCTTATAATTGGATGGGTTTAGCATTTTATCTACTGGTTGGTCCTAGAATAAGAAAGACCAGGAAATATCGCTGAACTATAGTTTACCTCTTCACTAACCTCATCAACTATATCTCTGACTGAGAATCAAAATGAGCGTATGGTTTAATGTGTTGATGTCGTGTTACATTCATGAAATATGTTCTCGTGTTGATGACGTAACCCTCAAGATTCTGCCTAAAATCTTCGAATAAAGTCCTGTTTCTGTAAATTAAAGGAGCTTCCTGCCGAATCGTATTGATGTAATCTCTCCACCTTGTGTTTTCGTTCTTTAAAGACCTTGGGTATGAGCGATGTTTTGAATTTCCCGTAGTAACAGGTACAAACAGCAATGCCTGACCTCGAAATATCAGTTCCACAGCAGAAAAAAGGTACCTTTGTGATGCCCACCAGCTTGTGCTTTCATAGTGCGTACGGTAAGGGAAGAGATGCTCGATAGATTTGTAATGAAATGCATTTAAAAGAGCGTCATACCATACTGTTGGTATCACAAGGGGACTGTCCGTCTTGTTACATATTTTCTTTCGTCTCTCATTAGTCCAGATGGCCCCATGATGCCCTTTGTAATCCACAACGCCAACTACAGGCTCGTAATCTAGGAGCCATTGTTCGAAGACTCTAAACGGCGGAAGCCTCTTTATTTGTGGCGAAGCAAATGAATTGAAATGTAGTACCACATCATCATCCATAAAAATGTAATAATGGTATTTTGGGGATCTCGTTATTGCAGCAAAATACAGCACATTTCGTCCTGTTCCCCATCCAGTATCGGGATAGAACAAATAAGTGATGTGAGGCGACTTTTGCACTTGACATTTCATACGATAGCTTAGCACTATGACATCACAGTTACATGTCTCGGGGTCGCCGATCTCGGAAGAAGAGGCCAAGTTTGAAGGAAGGCATTGTTCTGTTTGAGTGAGATAAATGAAAACCTTTGAAGATGAACTAGTTTTGGCTTTTTCTGTGGCTGTAGCTTGAGTTGGAACAACCTTTCGACTGATGATCTCACCTACGATAAACAAGGTATTGAAGTTTATTTTGAACTGTTAGCAAGTCTGACTGAACCAGCATGCTTTAATTACAATTATGGAAAGGAATTACTCAGTGGAGAACTTTAGAAATAGTCAATTGTTACCATTTACGAAGTTGTAATAATTGAAGATCTCTCCAACACGAAGAGTTTTAAGAATGGTCCATACTTACATTTCTAAACGTATAGACCAAATGACCAAGCGCTCAAAACGTCAGCTCGACTCATCGACTTTGCCGAAGAAAGATTTACCAAAATTTGAAAAGTGAACTGTGTCTTTGTTAAAAATATGGTTAATTTATCTTCCATTTTCTACGAATAGAAGTAGTTTTTACTATAGCTTCGATCAAATACATTTTTGATTATTAAAATAATTATAATAGGTTTAAAGAAGATTTTCTCATGTAACGTGCAAATTATGATGATTAAAAAAAAAACTATGCAGCAACGATAGAGCTTTTCGGGCTGTCTTCGCTAGTTTTGGTAAGCGCGAAGTTACTGCTCAGCTTCGGAAGTCGAACAAGACATGAAACGTCCTTGAGTATCTTGCTCTTCCTGTGGGAATTTGCAGGAATAAAAGTTATGTTCAGTCATTTACTAAATCTTAATAATTTTCGTTATCCAGAGGACAGACATGAGATGGAAACATTTAGTGTCCAAATTTATTTTTTCTTTTCAAAAAGAGAAATCTAATCTTTGTCTCACGATGTGGTCACTTTGGATGTGGATCACGACGTTTCGACTGCATACTGCTAGTTCTCTTCAGGCGATTAGGTCGATTTAGTACGGATCTCCTATATGCTGTTGAGATGAACTAGAGTCGGATGGAATTCCACGGCTGTGATAAGTGCATCCTTCGGATCAGTTTCCGTTTGTGGTCCGCTGCCGCACGGCTCTCCTGCTGTTTTGTTTGTTGACCGTCGGCATTCAGACTTCTGGGATTTCAGTTCTACTGTCCCTATTGATGTTGTTAGGGTGAAGTGTTATGTGAATTGCCTCTTTTCCCTTGCGTGTGTAGAATTGAGGACCACGATCAATAAACTTTACTTTGTTCCGGAGTGGGCGGTTTCCGGTGTTGTGGGCATGCTCTGAGGCGGCACATGTCTGCATCCTGGCTAATCGGATACCCCTCTTGTTCCTTGATTCTCTCCTGCATAGGTCAGCCAGTACCGCCGATGTAAACCTTCCCACACTCACGGAGAATCTTGTAGACTACGCCATCCTGTTTCAGCTGGCTCGACGGCATCCTTAAAAACAGCGCGTATGCTTTGTTATTGTAGACAGCGGCGAAGTTCAGGTGTTCGGAGAGGCCTTTGACGTAGGGTAGGACTGCGGTGGATCTGAACTCGGTGGGGTTTTCAGTGCTGGCGGTCAGTGTCTTGTTTTTTGTTACTGTGCGCACGAAAGAGGAAGGCTTATTATTAGAAACAAGAACAGGTGACAGTTGTTTCTTCCAATGGGAGATAACGGACGATTTTGTTACCAGACGTTTCGCACGCTCGTAAAGGCACTCGATAATACTGTGCTTTATTTAATGCAGATGGTGAGAATCATACGCTAGGTATTGTAGGTATTGATCAGTGTGCGTCTGCCTCATGTATACGCTGGTGGTTAGGCGTCCATCAGGTTCTCTTGTAAATGCAGTGTCGAGGAAGGCGAATTTTTGTTGCTCTCCGTCTCCATGGTGAGGCAAATGGATGGCTGTTGGTGGTTGAAATGCCGTTGGAAGTTTTCTACGCTGTCACGGGCCAAGATGGTGAAGTTGCCGTCTACGTAGCATTTGCAGATCCTGGGTTTGCAGGATGATGATGTTACTGCGTGTTCTTCAAAACTCACCATGTAGAGATTAGCAATAACAACGGAAACCGCGCTCCCCACAGCTGCACCTTCTGTCTGTTCGTAAATTGATCCATTGTACCGGAAATTTGTAGATCTCAATATCAAGCTAATGAGGTCTGTAATACGACTAGGTGTTAGTGTCGAGCAGTTGGAAAAGCTGGGATCGTTTTCTAGTTTCTGCTGGGCTGCTTCTACGTCAATCGGAACTTTAGTGACCAACGATACTACGTCGAAGGACACAATCACATCTGAAGTGACCACATCGCGAGACAAACGATTCTATTTCTCTTTTTAAAGTGTTATTTAACACGGTGAATAGCCACAACCTATTTTACAATATAAATCTCTATCTTTGTTCTCGTGCTTTTGTTGGAAATTTATAAAATTGTACTTGCATGTGCCGTTGAATTGGTTTTGCATCTCTAGTCGACAGGGAGCATTGCCCCTTCCGGAACAGTTTTCAAAGGCATTGACTTTTTACAACTGTAACACTGCAGAGAGTTTTAATGTGGATAATCCGTATCTTTTTTCCTGCAGTTCATGTTGTTACATTTAGGATATGTGTCAATACAGACGGTTGACATACTTTACAAACGTTATAATCGAATACTTTCAGGCTTTTGACCATATACACTCAATAAAATTTGTGGCTGAAGGGCCCTGTTTTCAGCTAAAAGATGGATCTGGGTTTAATGGAACTGCACAGTGAAGTTTATTGACAAGATGCTTCTTCGTTTGACTGATTCTATTCATTTTTTGGACTTGATATCTTATTGCGCCAAGCAGATTACTGGACCTTGCTCGGGCAAATATCAGTTAAGGACAATAAAAGTAATATAACTAATTTCAAACACAGGTGTAACTAACGCTTCCGAAAGCTGTAGAAGCTTATTGACATAATGTGGTCCTGTTCACCTGAGCTCGACCCTTCGCATTATAATGCTACGGCAAGTTCAAGGGAACAAATTCAAGGTCATCTCCAATTCGTTAATAAAATTAATTAAGTAACTAAAAGTAACTCCGAGGGCATAATTAATCTGACGTGCATGGAATGCTCGGGCATAATTAATCTGACGAGCATGGAATGCTGTAAATCATTTCCAACTTAATAACTTACCCACTCTTCTGTTGTTGTTTCTGAGTTTGCTATTTCCTTTTTCAATCTCAGCTTTGTATGAGATGCTAAAGAAAAAGGCGGTCAAACCAAGGACAAAAAGCAAACTTACAAGTTTACCTCTTGTTGTAAGAATCATTTTGGTTCTGCTCTAAGACCGTAAAGTCACCTCGTCAAGCACGTTAGGGCCTAGGAAAAACAAAGAATATTTCATTTTTACTGTACAAAATATTAGTTCAGCTCGATAAGCGAAGACATCATAACATAAACTAATTGCGATCACTGCACTCTATTGTCGGTTAGTTGAGAGAATGTAGAAGGTAACGAGAGGCCAAAGTTTTCATAACTCTGTAATGATTGCAGCACCTTGTAATACCTGTCACACTTTGTAATAACACATGTGGCGCTATAATAAATTTGGTAAAGACGGTCTTATTCAATTTAATCGGAGTAGACCGAATAAAAACCATCATCCCAGTCAATAACGACAATGTATATAACAATAATCTTGCGATCGTGTCGAAAGCCGCCACAAGCTTGTATCGTTCAGCAAAAGAAAAACCTTGGAAGCGATAAAAGAGTCGAATTTCTAGGAGTTTACGCTAACATGGCGATTCCCTCGATAACGACTTGGCTATTAAAAGAGACTGTTGACTATCGCTCTAGAAATTTTGGAAAGCGAATAGGGAACAAAAAAGCCTTATTATTCGGGTTCTTTTGGCAAGCATTTCGTTAACTTTTAAATGGAATTAAAATTTGTCATTAACTAGCCTAGGTCAGTCCGTATTGGGAAAAATTGCACCTAAGGTCTTTAGTAAAGCCTCGGCCCAAGGCCTCGGGCGGCTTTCAAGATAACGGGCACAGTTTTTCCCCTTACGGTCAACCGGCTTCTGAATAACATATCTATGTTTTGAAAAGGTTACTCCAACGATAACTTGGTTTTATCAACTGAGCTGATGATGCAGATTGGTTAGCTTTAAAAAATTTTGACGTTGGCAAATTTACTTTATCTCAATGAATAAAATTATCTTCTCATACCCCCACCGATGTTTTACAAACTTACCCACATATTTCATCGATAATTTGTTTCTAACCACAATTCCCACCGTTTGACAACAGCACGCACAATTTGGAAGAAGTTGAGATCATGTCAAAAACCGTTGTAAGCTTGTATCGTTAAGCAAACGAAAAACCTGTTCAGCGATACTAAAGTCGAACTCTGGGAGTTTTCGGCAACATGGTGATTTCCTCGGTAACGACTTGGCTATTCAATAAGACATGAATGTAAGCTATTCGCCATGGAAATTATGAAAAGCAAGACGCAATCGGGACAGGCATATAATCAGTGAAATATTGCCCTGTTACTGGGTTTTAAAATGGCTACAACGTAAGTAATTTTCATTTTGTCTGCAACGATGCCATGCAATATAGATAAATTAACCAAGTATATTAACCACTAGCTAACATTCCGTTTTCCTAAATATTTTCCCCCAATTTTCTAGTGTGTTGTTGCTCGATATTTTCTATGTGTTGTCACGGGTCAACTAACGCCGGGAAAACGCAATATTCAACCTTGATTCACACACCAATGAACATCTCCTTTTGCTGAGCATTTTCCTCGTTACCATAAATGTGTGAACACAATGTCTGAAAGCATTTTTGTATGAGCAGATAACGCCGTGGGCACATGATACTAAAACGGGCACTAAAATGGGACCTAGCTACGCCAATCTTTTCGCAGATTTCATCGAAAAACAATTTTTTAGTCAATACCCGACGGCCCCAAACCTGAACTCTACGGCCGTTGCATTGACGACTGCATCAGCGCTACCTCCTCTACATGAGGGGAGTTCACTTAATTTATAACCGACGTCAGTTCCTTTCACCCGGATCTTAAATATACTTGGGAAATTTCTTCCTTCTTTAGCTTTTCTAGACATCAAAATTTCAACTGAAGGCAACGGTTTATGCACTGGCGTTTACTACAAATCTAAAGATTTACATAGTTACTTGTTGTATTCATATGCACATCCGTCACACGTCAA